TTTTAAAATAAATTCAGAGCTCATGAGTCTATTTTATAACTCGGGTAACAACTTGGTAGCAATACTTGGAAGCAAGTATTTTTTAAATGTATGTCCGATACCCGATACATATTTTATGTCGTAAAATGAGATCGCTTTTGAGCGAATTTCTTTAAATTTTTTAATATCTGTTATTCTAAAAGTTGAAAAAAAAGAAAAAAAAAAGGAGTGTGTGTTTGTAAGTAAAGGAAAAATCGGGAAATTAATTAAAACACTGTTAGCACAATTTGTGGATCCTCCTTCTGGCCGACAACTGGCTGTTGCGAGAGTGTTTTACCTACCTCTCGACATTTTTTTAAAAATTTTATATTATAACTGGCGTTGAGCAGCCGACACAATTCTGAGTTTACGACTGTCAATGTTCAACTTCGTAGCCTTGTAACTTTGAGACCAACCCAGAAGACAAGGGAACCCCGGGATCAAACTAGCCATCGAGGAGGACTTTTGATGGAACTAACCCACATACGCGTTACGTGGAAAGAGAAACCGCGAAATCCTTCCGCGGTTAGATCGAAGTCAAAGGGATTCTTATCCATGATCCATCTGCCACTGTGGATATTATACGTGTGGTTGTGCACTGTGGTTGGTGCGAGCCGGGAGATAAATTCGTATTAACCAACCACCGCTGGAATTCGAACCTGGGGATAAATTTGAACTGCTAATTTTGAGTAACATCTAATCTAGCCTCAGCATTAATGATACTTTTTTTCTCTATACATTTAAAAATTGGAAGAGCTGCGCAATTGGTTGTTCAATTTTGCGTTGCATTTTGCTTCGAGGCGCAAAAACTCTTAGACATAGAGACTTTAAAATATGAAGATAAAAAGTACAAAGTACACCAAAATAAAAATTTGAACATTCGATGGTTCGTTGGAGAATTATTAATTGTTGAATTTATAGTAAAAAATACCACGTGGGCCACCCAGCATCTCATAGAATTGCGACTGTAGAGCTGAAATCAGACGTCATGAAAGAACTATTTATTTTTATTTGTAAACTTAAACACGGTTGTCTTTTTTTAAAAATAGTTTGCAAGTTGTTATTTTTTTAATTGCCTTTTTCCAAAATTGTGTCTCACTTTTCGTTTTAAACAATGACCATATATCCTTTGTAGCAAAAAGAGAAGAAGAAAAATTTATCTATCGCTTGAGATTTTTATTTTATAAAAGCTTTCTCTTCTGATTAGAAGTTGAAAAAAAATATGGTCATTACAAAATTTACCTCAGTTATTTTTCAACTCATTTCACACAAAATAAATAAATAAATAAAAATAACAGCAGATATAGAATAATACATCAACTGACTCAAAAATGTTGAAAAAATAACTAAGATAAGCTTTTTTCTTCTTCTTTTTATTTGCGAATGGGATTAAGAACTATAAGTGAAATTAGCAAATAATTGCATTGACATACACATTGGAGCTTATTTTAAATAGTTACAACACAAAATTGTGCTACCATAAATCAATTTAGTTTGCATAAAACCATACTGCTGAGAAGAAAAAAAACTATTCTCAATGTTAATTAAATAAAAGGTTAGAGTTCTGTTTGTTGGCGTCGAAAAAAATATGCGAACTTTTCATGGTTTTCCATTCCTTTAACGAGATGCTGTTAGACTTCCAACATGCTGTCATATCACTGGGAAGTCACCAAAGACGAGTTCGTTTTAATACTTGTCTTTACGAATGGATTCAAAATGAAAGATCAGACAAATGAATTATGATTATTAAATAAAAGTTGGAATAAAAAGTTTATAAATTAGCATAGCATTCTTTTCTTGAAAATATATTTTATTAACGAAATTTCTTCGCTTCATATTTAACAATTTTTTTTTTTTTTGTGAGAAAAACAAACGCCTTTTTGGGGAAAAATAACAAATTATTCGAAGCAATCATGAGGGCTGGTAGGCAGAGTATGCTAAAAAAAAAAATTCTCATTTAATTTTTTTTTTATTTTGTTTATTACAATTAAACAGTGACACATCTTGTAACAGTCATAAAATTTACAACAAGAAGATACATTGGTCTCTACCTCTCTGCATAGATTTATATCAAATTTAGGTAAACTTTGATCTAGCCAGATGTTGTCACTGTTATTATTTTTTGACAAATTAAAACACAAGTCTTCTTCAATTTTAGTGTACCACGAGTTAAAAGTCAAATATCGTGAGAAGTTTTTAATTAACAAACATTTCGTATAATTGTTTTCAAAAGTAATTAAATTTTGTAGAGCGACATAGATGTTTTAATTTAAAGTGAACGTTGGTAAGTTGGTCCCAAAGAAAAAAATAATCTTCTACCAGGATATTTATATGCTTTTTTCCTATTTTGTAGGTTTCCCTTATATTCTGAGTTGATATTGGCAACTTTAAAACACAATAAATGCTTTCAAATTTGAATGCGAAAATATAAAATGTGCAGAGTTGCAGTTTTTTCAGAATTTTCTAAGTCAAAATGCTATAAAATTAAAAAAAAATTTCATTTCGTAAGAAAAGTAATCCCAAAAAACATGGAAGCAGAAAATGTACTTGAAAAGATATTATTCTAAATATGATATTTGTTTATTTCTTATTCTTTAATGCGTTATAATAATTGAATAAGATAATAAGGAGTTAAGCTTTAATAGAAAAACGGTAATTCAATTATTTTTTCGAAGGGAAACTATGATTGCGTCGCAAAATTCAATGCATCTGCAGAGATTCGAAAACAGCGCTATGCAGAGAAAACGCGAGAAAGAACAAATAATGTTGGCATTTTGCGATGTGTTTGGCATCCCTTGGTAGAAATATGTCATTATTGGCTTCTGCTTGGCGCCATTATTTATTTCCCACGGCGTGACTCTTTTTGATCGTTTCTGGCAACCCTTCCGCATGCTGGTTCACACCGAAATCTTTCAAATGACGTCATACCAAGCATTGAGTTTAACGTAGAAACGTGTGGATAACGAATAAAATTTTTGTGTGAGGGATAATGTTTGTTGCGATTGCATGGTGGAAGCCAAGAAATGTTTCCCTGATGGTGAAGGTGGTGCAAGATGGTTAGAGAGACTCGATATCTCTGGGTCGGAAATTTACCACATACCATCCGCGAAGATCGTATTTTGGAACATTTTAAACGGTATGTGTGCACTTCAAATTTTGGCGGTTCCAATGCGCAAGCCTGCCCCTATGGATATAAATATCATTTGTGTTTGTGTGCTCAATGTTTATTTCATCCCACATGGTTTATTCTTCCTTTGTTTATAAATCATACCTCATCTTATGTTGATTTATTATTATGCTGGTGAATGGATTACCATTTGTGTTTGTTGACCTTACACATGCTGGATAGTCGTTAGTAAGTAGGTATAATACGGTGAGTTTTCCTGACCAGGGAATTGCCGTTTCGAAGACAGATTTGTGTAATTTTTAAGAAAGTTTTATTTAAAATTTTTATGCTTTTTTATTTGTCTATCACGCGGTGCTTGCAAACTTCAGATCTCTGCTGGTCCAATCAAAACTGAAGTTCTTACTTAATTTCTTTTAAAATAAATAATTTGAATTCTATTTACTGTTTATTTTTCAGTGTTATTGCATGACGTATGCCTTTTTCAGCACAGATTTGTGTAATTAAGAAATGTTCGTTTATTTAAAATTTTTCTGTTTATCATTTCCCTGCCTGGCTGTGTTAGCTAGTTATTTTCATGTTTCCGTTAATCTGATCCCAATTTTAGTTGGATCGTATTAGCTTAACTTTGATGGATTAAAATTGATTAAATTTTTCTTATTAAACGTATAGATTACGAACGTATGTTGTTTGCTTGTGACTAACGCTGTTATCTGAATTTGCATGTTTAATTCCTAAGATAAGCTATTGTGACCTCGGTCGATTAAAATGCATTCCTATAGTTAATTTCACTAAATGCTTCACAGATTTTAGTATTATTAAATTTTATGTGATTAATTATTACCGATGAATTTAAATTAGTATAAAATAATCTCATATTTGAATCCGTAGATCGTTGTTTATGCATGGGCAATGCTTATTTCAATCCCGTATATCGATTAACGGATGGTATTTTTGAAATTTTTAAACTTAAATTATGACACAGTTCTTTTAAGTGCTTGAGATCGTTGCGTAATTTTTAATATTTGTTCTTATTCATTATTTCCTGCATGTTTTGTTTTACAGCTGAAAAAAAAACCTCATAACGTTATTTAAAACAATCAAAGCTTGAAGCTCCGATTATCAGACGATTATTAAAATTTTTTATATAATGCTTGACTTTTTATAATTCCATTTGTGTTATACTTCGAAGTTGTTATCGTTAATGTTCTATTGAAATTTAATGATTTAGCATAACTTGTAAGTATTTGTTTTAGATATCTTATATATTTTTGAATTCGTAATATGTAATACGAGTAACGATTAATATGAAATACCAAAATTTAATGGTAAGCTAAGAGGGCAATAATTTTTATATTCCATATCTGGAATTAAAAAACAGGTTTTTAAATGGTAACAGGGTATTTACATACAAATATATATATTGAACTCAAATAGTAATATTTCTTTAAGTATATGACATTAGAGTTAAAATATTCTTTATTTTACGTATTAACTACACTCAAATCTGATATTTAAGACAAAATTTTACTATAGCTTGTGATTATAAAATCTTCTTCTATAATTAGATTTAATTTGCTTTTTAAATAGCTTTGGTTTGGTCTTAAAATATCAATACCTCGAAATACATTCTGTTAATTTATTCAATTCCTATGAACTTAAAGTTTTTTATTTAAAGAGTATGGGATAGATGTGTGAAGCTTAAAATATATACTGATACAAAATTTATTATATAAAGAATATGGAAAAGATGTGTGAAGCTTAAAATATTTACTGATACGAATACTTAGTTATTTGTTTAGAAATTGTCCGTAAAACTATTTAAAATCCAAGAATATCACTGCCATATTTGTATGATTTGTTTGTTAGAAAAAAAAATAAAAAAGATGCATAAAATGCAGTTGTATTCGCTTCCTTTGAAATAGGACGCCATTGCTTCTTCCTTTCCACTGTTCCTCAAGTGCTTTAGCAAGTTCACGTCGGCTGCTGCGTGCGTTATTTTTTCTCTACTTCTTTTTTTTCCCCGTTCGATAAGGAAGGTTTCATTGTTCCCCTCGTGATTGCGAGCTCGAAAAATGGCGTCGCTATGCCTTTTTTTTCTTTCTCGATAATGCAGCTGCTTCAATTTTGGGATGACTACATTGGCTTTTTATAATATTATTCCCTTATACGTTTTCCCTATTTTGAACTTTTGGTACCCAATAACTGCGTGATATTTTAGTACGAAAACGTTTGTTTTACCTTGTTTGTAATGGCGATTTTTCGTGTTGTACTTATTGTCATATTTCTTATTTGTCTCTCTAAAAGAATTTTGTTAACCGTATGTATGCTTATGAAAATTAACAGCTGGAACTTGCTGTCTCGGAAATGCTAGTTGCGTGCTTTATAATGTTACATCCAATGATATTTAAGTAATTGCAGTGTTTTCTTTCTTTAACATTTTTATGATAAATGGAGAATTGTTTAGCTCATAAATAATTTGAAAATAATGCTTTATGATTCCAAAATAATTCAAAATGCGTAATCAATCTATAGCATTTTTATTAAAGGGGAAATAAATAACAAGATATTGAGATTTTTTTTCCGGATTATTCTCTTATTCGAAGTTATTTATTTATTTTCCAAAAATTTAAGATCAACCATATATCAACCCCATTTGTACAATGTAAAAAATGTTTATGTGTAAGTTAACAAATTTGATAGTTGTGCTTATTTTTTTTTATATATTTCAAATTTATATTCAATATATATAAAGGCAATATTACCATAATCAAGTTTAGTATTAAGTATATAATGTATTTTCAATGTAATTTATTATAATAGGCATGAATTAATGCAAATAATTAAGTTCTTAGTCTAATGTAAAAATAAGCAACTAGAGATTTTATAGCTTTCGTACCTTTTTTGTTACCTAAGTCACTGAATATAATTTTCGGATTAATGTCTTTTTAACAATTGATTACATAGATTTAATTGTATTACTCGGTAAAATATACATTAAATAATCAAATATATATAAATAAAATGTAATAAAATAATCAAATAAAATAGATGTGTAAGTCTATGCAAAAAAAATTTAATTCTTGAAAATGTAAAAATTAAAATTATTTTATTGCTTTCTTAGCTAATGGGCATTTTTGTAACTTTTATCATTGGATATGACATTTTCACATTAATATCATTTCTAACTACGTATTTATAAATATATGACATGTAACAATCAGATATAAAGAAAATAATCTATAATAGTTAATAAAATAAATTTCAACAGAAGTTATATGTAAATGTTAACAATGTTTGATAAAACATATTTTTATTTTTTAAATTCTACAACTATTCAAGCAATTTATTTTTCAGGTAGAAATTTTTTCTCTCTATTGATTCAGAAATTGGTGATAAATTTTTATTAATTATTAAGTAATATCTTTCATATAATCTGGTTTCAGCAAATTAGTGTGTTAAAACAACTTACAGTTTAAACAAAAATGTCAATGCATTTCAATCAAAATATTCAAACCAATAATTCTTTTTTTTTTCTTTTAAAGAAAAGGATTAATTTACAGAGAATTGATTAAAAACAGTTATTTTCTTCCAAATGAACATTTTTTGTTTGTTTGAAAAATTCATTGAATCTATTTTCTTCAAATAAGAATAAATTAAAAAAGTTTTAAATTATCAGTTATTTTTTAGTCAAGTCTGTTAAAAAATTTACCATAATTATGATTTTAATGAAATTTTAAGCAATGAGAACTAAGATATAATTCTTCTGAATCAAAGTAAGCTTGTACTACTTGTACTTTTTATACTACTGAAAACTTTTTTTTTCCAATGCAAGTAAGTGATAGTTCAGATATTGGCTTCAAATCTGTATACATATATATATATTGTCAGTCTGCATTTGTTGACATGAATGATTTTAAGTTTATATATAGGAAACTAACGAAGGAAAAAAAAAAAGATTTCCCCTTTTAAGCAGTGCAAAGTTACTGATTCTGTAAATTTAATAAGGTAAATTTTGGGTTACACACATTTTGTATGTTCTTTAATTGGATCAAATTTGTCTTATTATTATAAATTTTTATTGACATTTTTTCCTGAAATAATCTAACTAAAAATTTAATGTTTTTAAAAAACTCTAGTACTTATTTTTCAAAACTTCAATTGTTAAGATTATTTACTTTTATAATGTAGAATCAGGGGTAAGTGTAGACATATTAAAAAACATTTATTTTCCACTTTTAAATTGAAATAATTTATTATTTCTAGAGACTTTTGCAGGGATTGCGGCAAGCATTACTATTTCACTTATAGAAACTGGATAAAATTTAAATGTTTTCAAATTGTCAAAATTCTATTTATTATGTATTGTTTTATGATGTGGGATATATGGTTAGGTTTAAATAAATGTTTTATGACAGGGATATTTTTTTTAGCTTCTGTGTTAGCTTTAGTAATTATCTACTGCCCTATATTCTATAATAAAATAGCTAAAAAATCATTTACTTATTTGATTATAACCCTATATAGTAAATTTAAGATTAAAAACGAAATTTCTATTAAATTTTATTTATTAAAAAGAAGAATGATCGAGGAAAAAGAACAATATAACATATATATTATACAATAAAAAAAATTACCAAAATATCGTGGTACAACTTAGTGAGCATATTTAAAGATATAGATGAGTTTTCTTGCAAGTTTCGGCCTTCATATAGCAGTTTTTTCATGCGAAACAAAACCTTTTTCTTGAAATAATTCAATTAAATAAAAATACATGTTTGCTACAACTAGTAAAAACACTTTATATGACCATAAATATTTTTACTCAGTTGTATATTTCAAATACACCAAATATTATTTGATTTTTCTTACTTTTTGATGAAATTTTGTTGAGTTCTGCAAAATATACTGCAATCTAACTGAAACCTGATTTTGATAGTCTTGAACATTAACTCCTTAATTTAATAAGAAAAAAATTAATTGCATTTGTATATGGAAATGTAATCAAAATTGATTTATGTAGGAGCTGTTTTATTTCAAATTATCTCCATATCCCACTAAGGGTAATGTGGGCATATAAAAGCATGTTCGTTCGAATTCATTACTGTAAGAAAGCAATCAAACAAAATAGATAATAAATTATGCGTTTTAGTTAATCTGTATGAATCGCTTGATTTCAGAGCCTTCTTTAATAAAAAGCTTGATATTATACCTACTTTCACCCACCTGACCCTATTAAATAATAATAATTTTGATATTTTTTCTTACCTTTAGTCAAATAAATTAAATTATTTTTACTAAATTGCAAAATAATGGCATATAAAATTTTTGTTTACGTTTCTGTACTGAGTTATTTGATTAAAATTTCCAAAATTTGTGCAATTTACATGATTTTTCAAAAAATATTTATGAAGTAATTTAAATTTGATCTTGAATATTAAAAACACTGATTTAACACTGAAAAGCATTAAAAAAAAAAAAAAAATGCGACCTTCACATTATTTTCATTTTATTTTTTCCTCTATTTTCAGTGTTTAAAATTTAAATGTTATAATGGTAGAAATAGGTGTAATAACTTTTTTTAGTAATAAAATGCTAATTTTGCCTAATAACTCTATATAATTGTAGCTAAATAATATCACAAATAGTATCCTTTTATGTGTTTGAAAACAGTTTTTACAGTTTTTTTTTTTCCAAATATTTTGCACCCAATGGTTGGTTTTTTTTTAAAAAAATATTTCTGAAAGTCAATATTTCGTTAGGCAACAGCCAGAGAACAAATGTATTATAATTTTTAAACTTTTTACAGTTATTTCACTCTGTTGATTTTAACTATTGAAGGGATAAAAGTTAAGGTTTTAGAGATTTGTTGTACACTACAGGAACAATCTGTTTGACATTAATGAAGTGGTTTTCTTAGTCTCTTAAAACTTCCACCATCAAAATCTATTTGTGCTACAAATCATATCTGTCACAAAACATATATTTCTGCGAATGCATACCAATGAGTAGTGTATGCTTGGCGTAGCCTTAAAATTGACTTTAAAATAGCTAGAAAATGAAATTTTTGGTATAACTTTCAAGGTCATTAACTGCTTTCGCCAAAACTTAATAATTTACGATTAATGAAATTTACTTGAAATGAATTCTTAATGCAGAAAGAAAATCAATTCTCAGATCTATAGTTACTGATTCATTTTTTTAAAATATAATATAGCCCTAAACTGTGAGACTTGACCTATCGTACCTGAGTAAGTGAGTATAAAAATTGAATAATTATTTAAATTTTAATTGTTTTAAAAAATTTGATTTAGGCCCATTAGGAATATCTGAAATTTAAACTTTCCCAAGAGGTGAGCTTCAGTCTCTTATTTATAATCTACTGAGGGTAAGGGGGCAAAACATACATAACTAGGCAAGTAATTATTTCCGGTGCAATTTTCGATAGATCTGATCGCTAAGAAGTTATTTTGTATGTGGAATCAGTGGAAATTCTGACACACACATAACGTATTTATGCGTCTGACATAGCTATCCAGGCAAGTAAAGCATTGATTCTAATTTCTTTTTTAAACAATTGATAGGAAAACTTCATTATAAATTTAAAAGTTTTAAGTAGATAAGTGCAACTAAAGTACATAAATGCTTTAATTAATGTGTGGCTCATATCTTCGAATCAAAGATTAACTTCGAAAATATAGGCGTAAGAAGTTTTTTTAAACAGAAATACTATAAGTATATCGACACAAAGATGTGGTAAGCACTAAGGAATAATTAAGACATTTTCGAAACATAAAATTTTGATTGGCGAATTTGATAGTGCCTTTTTACCAGGATATCTATCTTAAACAGAATGTTTCCATGTATGTTTCTTAAACAAGTTCGCAATTTGGAATTGATTAACATCAAATGTGTACATGCGAACGTAAGTTCGGCTGTCAACTCTGTTTTCAACTCTCTCTGTCTACTGTTTCGCGCGCTGTAACCCAAAACAAAAAGTTACATGACGTGAATGATTTGCAAACTAGCAACTCTATTTACTCATGACTTACAGCACTTTTTGTTAATTATTTATCTTCATTTTCTTATATTTGCACCAGAGTTCTCCCTAGGAATAAAAAAGGGCTTCCTCACAGAAACGGGCACACATTTAACGCCGTAAAAATTTATGAAAATGTGCAATATCATGTAATAAGTAAATTTGATCGTCAACAATTTTT